ATTTAACAAGTATGAAAACTGTTACCTTGCACACTGTCCAACTTGTCATCGCTGAATTATACGAACTGGTTGAGAAGAATAATTGTTTTATTTTTCTATGTATTGTGTTTGATAGCTTACAGAGTATTCTGTCATGATGCTAATGTTTGATTTTCATCCAGTAATTTAATAAATCAGTATTCAAACTACATACATATAGAGGCACAAGATCTGACTTTTACACATATTATTAGCTACTTTGTTTCAGTAATGAGGTATATTCTAAATACAAGTGACCGTTGCATGATTATCAAACTGTCATTTTATTTTTTAGTTAATAGTTTAATTTCTAGCCAAGTGCTACATTATAACATGATGGAAAGGTTTTTGTATCACCTTTCAGATTGAAATGTCCCAAACTGTTTTGGAAATAATTAAGAGGGAGAGGGCAGGACACAGAAGAAGCTCCTCTCTGCTTTGTTAGAGATTTTTGAAAAGAGAGGATTTTCTCCTGGAGTTGTGATCATCAATCCTCCAGGTTTTTCACTGCATAGCTGTTTGTGGGACATTTTGCTGTGTCCAAAATGGCTCTGCATTTGCCTATAAAATCCGTAACTAGACTTAACAGTAACTACTGTAAAGCTTCTTGAGACATTTTGAAGTGATCCAGCATTATAAGAAATGTGTCTTGAATTGCCACAAATTTGGTTTTAGCATTATTAACAATAAACATTTTCACTGTTACAATTTCGCAATAGAGTATTAGAAGGGGGAAAGAAATATAGATTTATGGAGGGGTGGGAGGGGAGATGGCGAGAAGAGGCTAGGAGGTATGGTGGCTCATATGGAGTATAAATACTGGAATATACTGTTGAGCTGAATGACCTGTTTTGATGTTTTACAGTCCATTTAATTTATGTATGTAGGGTTATTAAGGCTTTATAATAATAATAATCCTTGCATTTAATATAGCACCTTATTGTTGAGATGTCACAATATCACAAAGAATATATTGTAAAGTGGATTGACTGTATTTTGTGGGTGAAGCGCACATTTTATTTCTAGTTCATATTTTATTGTGACTGTTTTCATTGCATTATTCTTCCATGTGTAGGTGGGATGCATGGAAATCTCAGTTTGGTTTGGGCTTGAAGGACTTTATATTCTGGTGAAAATTATTTTAGGAAAAAGGGAAATTTATCAGTCCTTCACTACCAGGTTAAAATTAATTCAACTCTTTCCTAAGTCATTTGAAAGTGTGAATTGGTATTAATATCCACATTTCAAATTCAAATTGTAGACAAACATGCCAGTCATTTGTACTGGCAAGATTCAAAGCCAGTGAAATCAGTGCCCAATTAATATGGAAAATGGTTTGCAAGAACCCAGAACACTTATTTTTGAATTATGTCATACAATTATAAAATAATTTACTACCTTCAAGTACAATAGGAATAATAATCAATCTAATGGGGAAAAAATAACAGATTGTTGGTTAATATTGCTATTAATAAATCACTATTAGTATGTTCTCCCTTTTTGTGAACTATTTTGAGCCCCAAATATATAAGGCTTCATGCTTAATTCTCACTTGCATCAGATTCTGCTTGGAAATATTAGGATTTTTTGTTATTTGAGTATTAAAACACTTCTGAATAAGGCCTTATAAAGTAGACAGTGAAGAAGATCACCTGAACAAAATGGCACTGCAAGGTTATGAATTTCTTAATTTCTCATTATCCTGAGGTAATCCTTCCCACATCCCCATGGATGACATCAAAACACTAATTAGATTTTCCTCCATTAGGAATAAAGGACTACTGGAGTAAAGTAAATTATGTTTTCCTCAAGAGATAAAGCTGTCAGTGTGAGCGACTATAAATCGCTACTTCATGTTATAGACAAACATCTAGAGGGAAAAAAAAGTAATTGCACTAAATTTATTGCTTTAAGAGATTTCATTTTATTACTACATTTTAATGTTTTTTCCATGACCTACTGTTTAATCAGAAACTGTCTGTAACCAAACAGTAATTTGCAGTATTATTTGACACCTATGCTAATCCACAAGAACATATTAAGCTATTTATAGGAGCAGCAGCCTAGGGTGTTCTGAAGAACACTCCTTTGTTTCTTTACTGATGTTTCTGATTGGCAAGATGAAATCTGTTTATGGTAAAGAATTCTGTGTTTTTTTTCTTGTTGCCACAACATCAGGGGTATGATTTGTAGCTGTCTTAGTCTGAGTGATAGGACAAAGCAGGAATGCTGTCAAAATGGCCTTCAAACTCCAGAATAGCATTTAGCGACAACAGCTGGAGTGGTAAGATATGTGCCCTTCCGTAGTGCCTGTAGGCAACATCATTCAGCATCATATATGCTAAAGTCAGTTTGTAGTACTAAAGACAAGACATAAATGGGTTAGTACAAAGATGTAGAGTATTGCTGACAGCTGTGAAGGATCCTCCAACAAAAAAGAGTTGATTATAGCTGGTCTTGGCCTCAACACAGTCCGGACGCCTGGATTCGATTATGGTATCTCAAATGTATGTTGTGAGGCAGGCTAATTTCACAGCTGTTCTCAAGCTGTTTCCAGAGTCAAACATTGTTGTTTTGGAGGTTTGGAGTGGCTATGAATTTTGAGGGGAGTGTTAAAGAAAAAATGGGGTATGAGAATAACTATATTGTCCAAACCAGGTGCTGAAATCCTTAGTGGACTGGAGTAGATTAGATCATGTAGGCCACAAACCAAGCAACATCAAATGATGCAACTATAAACCATATTTCCTGCAGACATTGTGCATTGTAAACATTTGGATTAATTGATGGACAATTGGAATTGCCTGAAATACTCGTATTTCTCCAGTTTCACTGCTACATTTTTCAGAGACAGAATATAAATTTTAGAAACATTTTTGGTTGCTGGCTTCTCTGGTCTCTGCCAGTTGATGAACATTAACATTGCCAGATATACTTCCCTGTTGCTGGAGGCAGACCTGTTTTGGGGTTTATTCTTTCAGCCCACTTTGTCACATAGTAAGATTATCTCACAGTGCTTTACCAAGCTTCCTGATATGGTCAAAAGAAAATCCCTGTAAATAGAAGGCTTTGTTACATTCTGCTTCAACAATACAAATGCTTCAGATGGCATTAAACTTGAGAGCATTGAATGAAACCTTTTCTGCTTAAGTGCTGATCTAATAAGAGTGATTGTTATGCTGAATAATTTGCACATACAGTAGTAGAACATTATACGGCAGTTTGCTATTCACACTTGTCACTGCAAATACTCAAATTTGTTTTAAAAACTCAGATGGGAAATTATTCTATCCCCAAGGTATATTTCAAAACAAGTTACTCTCATGTTGTCTTTGTTGTATTCCTGGCCATTGTAAAATGTCCAAACATTTCAGAAGATGTTTTCACTGTAAAAGCAGCTTGATTTTCACTGTAGCATATCATTATGATCGAATATAAATTACTTGAAAGTTGAAAAAACATCTGGATAATGATTTAATCTGTGGAGTTACTGACTGATAAATTGGGTCACTTTAGAATGTAATTGACAGTTAATTGTCTTTCTCATCATTCAATTTAGGAATTCCTGGATAATCTTTATCCTTTTTGTTTACTCAGTTGATGGTATTTGTAAGAAGAGTTTGAAAAAGTAACTGCACAATATTCTCAGTATCATGGTGTTTTTGTCATTTATTAAAGGTTTTCTTGTATTGTTTCCCTTCCTTTTCTAACCCTCCCCCCATGCTCAGTGCATTGAAACACTTGAAAGGTGGTATACTTTGGTAAAGGTAGTAAAGGAAACTATTTGCAAATTAAGCTTGAGTTCCTGAGTGGAACATCCATGCTGTTATAAGAAGCAATGTTATGTGTTTCCTCCATGATATTAAAATTAACTAGATATTTTATAAGGAATTTTGTGTCTTAACACCGAAAAATAGCCATTTTCATAATGACAGGTATAATAATAATTATCTTTGCATTTGATATAGCGCTTTTCACGTCTTCTAGACGTCTCAAGCGCTTCACAGGATATACTGTAAAGTGAATTGACTGTATATTTTGTTGGCAAAATGTGGCAGCCAATTGCACACTACAGTGTCCTACAAACAGTCATGGATTGAGTGACCAAATTATTGTTTTTTTTGAGGGATTATTATCCCCGAAAAAGTGATCCGCCAATCAACTTGCAACCGGGTTCCTACTTGCTGCTAAATAAACAGAGACATGTGGAGTAAGGAAACTTGCCCAACATTTCGCCCTGACGGGAATAGAACCCAGGAATCTGGCTTGCGAAGCGAGTGCTCTAACCACTGAGCAACAGGACTTCACATATTGTGAAACTCGGTTAGATGCTCAGCTGCTTTCTACACAAATGTCTAGCAATATCCAGTAACTGGGTTGCCGTTACTAGTTCTAAAATGCTAACAGATGATAAATAATACTTGCATTTTGATATAGCACATTCACGTGGGAATGTTGTCACAAAGTACGTCACTATTGTGCTAGAAGAACCAATTTGTGCACAGCAATGTCCCACAAACACTCATGAAGTGAATGACCAATTTTATTGATCAGATGAACACTAATGTAGGTAATGGATATCAGGTATGGGTGTGTACCATTTTCCTCCCTGCAATTTGTAGGTTTGATGATATAAATACAGCTAAAGCCATCTGTAACAAGATCGAATTTGACCCTGGCAATTTCTGTTAGCACTGCAGTTCTGTGTATTAACAGCTATCATAGGAAGGATAAAAAGTTTCTTGAGTCTTTATTATTTTCATTTTCTAACTACAGTATTGATTTATGATATCAACGGAGACCTACTGTTGCAAAATATTAAGTCAGTTGTTTGGACCCAATGGTATTTTTCTGTTCACAATTTCATGTTCTTATAGGAATTTGAACACAGAATTGTGTCTGATTGCAAATTTACAACATAATACAAAATGTAAAAAAATATAGATTGTATGTAATAAAGTTGGTTTCTCTTTCTTTGACAGATAGTGAACATCCCCCTAATAGTGCAGTGGCAGAATATTTAAATGAAAGAAAAAAATATGAAGAACTTCGAAGACAAAAAACAAAGAAAGGATCAACCCGTGAGGAACAGGTAGTGCATATTAATCTAGTTTTATCACATTTTCAGCCTAATGCTGAGCGAGAGAACTGGCATTATTAATAATAATTATAATAATAAAAGAAAATAAGAACATACCAATAAAAGGAGAAAGAGGTCTGATTGAAATTGAAGCATCTTATAAATCAGTAATTGTAGGTTAAGTTTAATATATCAGAGCAATTTCCATTGATAATATCAAAATGGTAGAAAAACATGAAAAGCAGAAAAAGAAAATTTCCATCATTAAAGAAGCAATCAAGATCAAACAAGAATATAAAATCCATCNAAAAAACAGACGGTCAGTAGTTCATCCGCACCAACAAAAATGGCACATGGAAGTGAAAATTGTCCTTAAAGAAAATGATATCTTGTAGAAAACATGAATGGGAGAAGAAATTCTTGCATGGTCAATTTCCAAGCGAAATTAAATAACAAGAACCAAAGCTACAAATGGTTTACTATCGGAGATCTAAAAGCCGAAATAGAAGCCCTCATAATATTAGCCCAAGGCCAAGCTATTACTACCCGTTATTATGAAAATAAGACAAATATGTCATCAGCCAGAAACAGTAGATAACATATTGTCACCATGTCAAGCCCTAGCACAATCAGAATATCTGATTCAGCATAACAATGTAGTTAAATATATTTACTGGACAATTTATAAACACTTTGATATTGATGTAAACTGGTATGAACATCAACCAGCGAAAGTGACATCAAAAAATAACATTACAATAATCTGGGACTCACATGTACATACAGATAGAACAGTAATCTGTAACAAACTAGATATCATCATAAAGAACCAAATAGATTGTACATTGTACAAGTATTATTGATGTGGCTATTATCCAAAGTGATTACAATGTAAGAAATGAAGAACTAGAGAAGATCAACAAATTTATCGATCTACAAATTAAATGCAGATATATTTGGCAATGTAAAACAAACATAGTTCCTATAATGATTGGTGCAACTGGGACTGTTATTAAGATTATCCAGAAATGGCTTCACAAAATACCTATTGGACAAAATATCAATCACATGCAAAACTTGAAAAGTAACATCCATTCATATGTAATGTGGCAGTGTTACTGGTCTGACTGACCCATCACTGAAAACCATTTAGAAACTACCTGTAGAGAGGAATTTAAACGATAATAACATAATAATAATAATCCTTGCATTTGATATAGTGCATTATCATGTCGTTGAGACGTCTCAAAGTGCTTCAAAGGATATACTGCAAGTGGATTGACTATTTTTTTTTGTGGGCAAAACAGGTCAGCCAGTTGCACACAGCAATGTCCCACAAATAGCCATGGAGTGAGTGACAACATTTTATTTGGGTGATTGTTGGCCAGGACACTGGAAGAATATCCCTTTTTTTTTCAAAAAGTGCCATGGGATTGTTAACATCCAGTTGAATAGGCAGACGGGATCCATCTCATCTGAAGGACAGAAAAAATAGGATTCTAAGCAATGAAGTGTCGAAAATATTGAATAGCCTGAATTTTCAACAGAAACTTGTGGAAGAAAGTTCAGTGTTAGAATTGTAAAATGTTTACAGCACAAAAGGATATCATTTGGCCTATGTTCGTACTCCATTGGCGCTATCTACTGTAATCCTTTACCCTTACCTTTTTAATATTTAATAATTTTCCTAAGTATTTTTGAACTCACTTTTAAATGTTTTACTGCATTTGTTTAAAAATAGTAAATAAAGGACTCAATTCTTTTTATCATAAAAAGGTTCCTGGGATGGTGGAGGGGGAAGCTTACATTTTTCTAAACTTATTTAACAACCACATGCAAATGAGAAAGCAAACACATTACCTGTGTGTTCCCTTACAATAGGAAAATGTTTTGATTTTTATTGCTTAGTACAGTATCCAACCTAAGATTAGTTTCATTCCCAAGGGAGAATAAGCAACTTCAGCCAGAGAATTTTGTGGGTTTCTTTTTAAGTTTTAGTTACTTTTAAATCCAGGTTGTTGTTATTTTAAAATCGAACAATGCCATTGTTTCTTCTTGGGCCTTTGTACTGTTGGTGCTGCACTCAGCCTGAGCTCAATTTTGATCTCTCTTTGCAAATGTAGTTTTGGGTTAGTGCAAGCATCGGATTTTAAAATTTGAGTGGAGTGCGATGAAGCATTTGTAGTGTCAAACACCCAACAACAACAACCTGGATTTCAGGTGGGCTATCATCTTGGAGTGCTCAATAATGGAGGGTGTTGATGCTAAGCTGGGGAGAAAGGGGCATAGTCAAAAAGGAAAGTCTTCAGGAGTGATTTGAAGACGCGTGCATTGGGGCAGGATTGAGGCAGGGAGCTCAAGGTATTTGGGATATAGTGGCTGAAGGCACAGTCGCAGTTGGTGGAGCGGAGATATTGGGGGCCCCACAGTAAACCGAGCTGGCTGAGTGAAAGGGGGGGATAGAGGGGTGTGGTGCAGTGTGAAGAGGTTGGAGTAATAGGGAGGTGATTTATGGGTGAATATATTGAAATCAATACGTTTTGTGACAGAGAGCCAATGGAGTCTATTTAGCAAGGATGGGGTGATGATGGTGAGGAATTTGGTATGGATGAGAATGTGGGAAACAAAGTTCTGAATCATTTAGACATAACTATTTTCTGCAGTACTTTCTCTCTAGTTATCTCTCTTCCCCAAACCTCTTGGCTCCTTCCTCACTGATATCTCCTCGCTCCTCTCATCGCTGTCCCTCTGCAGTGAACACCTGCTTATAATGGGTGATTTCAACCTCCATCTAAACTCCCCTTGCACCACCTCCTCGGATTTCACTGCCCTCCTCTCCTCCCTAAACCTCACCCTCCACATTAACTCGCCGACCCACAACCGTGGCCACTCCCTCGACCTAGTCATCACACATGGCCTTGCTATTTCCGACCTGTCCATTACGGACAAGGCTATTTTGGACCACTTCCTCATCTCCCTCATCTCCCGTATCCTCCTCCCCTCTTCAAAGCCCTCCATCATCTTTTTCCACCCCTGGAAAAAGCTTCCCCCTGAGTCTGGATTACTCAAACGCACTCTCACCGATCTCCCCAGCTCCACTATTCAAACAATTCCAGCTCATTCAGAACTCTGCTGCCCGAATACTGACCTGGACCAAACTCCGTACCCCCAACTCACCAGTTCTGGCCAGGCTCCAATGCCTCCCCATCACTGAACGGATTGACTTCAACTTCAACATCCTCACACACGCGTTCAAGTCGCTTCATTCCCCTGGCACCTCCCTACCTCTCCGACCTCCTTATTCACCAATCCACCATCCAGCACCTCCACTGGACTGGCACCGGCCTCCTACATTTCCCTCGCACCTTCTGCCGCTCTACCATTGGAGGTCGCAATTCAGCCACTGCACCCTGAAACTCTGGAACATTCTCCCTCAATCCTCTTACGGTGCTTACAGTCGCCTCCACCCACCCCCGCTCCTGGCTCGGAGTCAGGCTCCACCACTGTTAAGCACTCTGAGACCCTACCCTGCGTGGAGGGCGCTATATAAGTACAAGTTGTTGTAGTTAGTTGTTATTTGAAGTAGTTTTGGACCATCTCAAAACTGAAATCTAAGACTTGCAGATATTGCCAAAATCAATGAAAAGAAATTTCTTCCACAAAAGTATCCAGATTTGATTTCTCTATTTTAATGAGAAACTTCAATTTCCAGGTTAGAGATAAATTCAAGTTTAAATCAGAAGCACTTACCCAAGGATCCCTCTCTTGGCTGGGGAGAATGTGTTTTAGTGCCAATCAGATGACCAAGATATGTTCAGACAACATTTTTGTCTCAGGATAGTCCTCTGTTTCAATTCTCTATTTCAACTGAGGCACTGCACTGTCTTTGTGCTTGAACCTATGCCTACACTCTTGAAGATTGATTTATCAGCACATGTCACCAATTTTATTCAATCAAGGAATTGCCTATACAGAAACTTAACATTTGGCTCAGTGTCTTCAAAGTGTTGCTACGAAACAAATAATGACCTTGTTCCAGACATCAACAGCAGTCCAGATGGACCCTTCAGAGAATCGTCAATCCTAATGCCTTCTCCAACCAGCAGCCTAAAGCTTGTTCAAGATATGGTGGTATAGCTTAGCAATTAAAGCTATACCACCATAAAAAGGGCAAATTTCCACTCTTTGGAAGAGGATGTATGTTATCAGTGAGGAGGATGCAATCAGAGAGTTTATCTCCAGAGATAATCATAATGAAAGTGAAAGTGTGATGTGGACCAGCACACATTTTGTTGACAACTACAACAGCCAAATTGCAACCCAGATTTAGATCCAAATACCCATAGCCAAAGCTCAAGCACAGATTCCATTCAGGACATGGTGGATTTATCCTTGAGCCAAAGCTTTGTTCTGCTGCCCCCATGTGGTCAGCATGTCAAACCTTCAGGGAGAACTTATTGCTTCTGGCAATTTCTTCTTGGACACTTGGATTACACTATTTGCCTCAAACTTCGGGTAGAGCCTTGATGAACCATAAACTGGCAGATTGCCAAGTGCTTTCTCAGGTGTAAACTGGGGGTTGCCAGTCCTCTCTTCCAGGGATGTATCTGATATCTTCTGAGAAGTCCAAAGCTATTAGTTGCACCGAGCAAGAGATTATACGTGCAAAGCACATACAGATTTGGATAACTCCTTTCCAGGCCCAAAGGGTGAAGATAATCCACACAATCTCATATTTCCTCAATGGGACGTTTTAGCCAATATAGATAAAAATCAGCTCGGTGGTTCACCCTTTGCAAGCCACTGGCTGTGAATAGCCTAATGAAGGCTAGGATGGAGACTATTAAAGCCATCTAAAGGCTAATGTTCTGCGTTACATGGCTTGGGATCTTGGTGTTTACTCAAGATGTCAATGAAAACTGATTGTGCTATCTTTCTTGGGGAATATCCAGCTAGGGGATAAGATTAAAAGCAACAACAACAACTTGGATTTATATAGCGCCCTCCACGCTGGATGGCGTCTCAGAGCGCTTTACAGTTTAGGATCCCGGGTCCGAGCCGGGGGAGGGGGAGGAAAGTGACCAAAGGCACGGTCGAAAAGAAAGGTCTTCAGCAGAGACCTGAAAATGGGAAGGGAGAGAGCGAGGCGGAGGGAGTGAGGAAGGCAGTTCCAGAGCCTCGGGGCATCGTGGCTGAAGGCACGGCCGCCAAGGGTGGAGCAGAGGACTCGGGGGACAAGGAGGAGGCCAGACCCAGAGGAACAAAGGCAATGGGTACTGTGCTGAGGAGAAAGGAGGTTAGAGAGGTAGGGGGTGCAGAGGAGCGCAGGGACTTGAATACGAGGGTGAGGATCTTGAAATCGATCCTCTCTGGGATAGGCAGCCAGTGCAGTCTGCAAGGACTGGGGTGATCGGGGAGCGGAGTTTCGTGCGGGTGAGAATGCGGGCGGCAGAGTTCTGAATGAGTTGGATTTTATGGACGGTAGTGGATGGGAGACCGGCGAGGAGGCCCTTTGAATAGTCCAGCCGAGAGGTGACAAAGGCATGGACCAGAGTTTCAGCAGCTTTTGGGGAGAGGTATTGGCAGAGACGGGCAATGCGTCAGAGGTGGAAGAAAGCGGTGCTGGTGAGGGACCAGATATGGGGGAGGAAGGATAATTGGGGGTCGAACCTGATGCCTAGGTCGTGTACGGGTTTGGAGAGTTTTAGGGGGAGGTCGGGTAGGTGGAGGAGTTGAGAACCGTGAGATTTTAGACGTTGACGAGAGACGAAGAGTATGAAGGAAGTTTGCGCTCATCCAGCCCCTGAGATCTGACAGGCAGGCTGACAGAACAGGGTGGTTGAGGCTGATTCGACAATTACTTTTAAAAACACGGTAGACAGGTATTTGAGGAGGATGGGTTTGCAGGGTTATGGGGAAAGGGCTGGGTAGTGGGATTGACATTAATTGCTCTATTCAAAGAGCCGACACAAATTCGATGGGCCGAATGGCCTCTTTTTGTGCTGTATAATTCTATGATTCTATCAGGGGACTAGGGTTCGTAAAGAGAGGTGGAAAAGTAGAGTTAGGTGTCATCTGCATACATGTAGAAATGTACGCCATGTATGCAGATGACATCCCCAAGAGGGAGCATGTAGATCAGAAAGAGGAGGGGACCAAGGATGGATCAGGTGACCGGGTGAGAGCGGGAGGAGAAGCCGTTTATGCAGATGTACTGCTGGCGGTTTGTGAGGTAGGACTCGAACCAGGTGAGTGCGGTCCCACTGAAGTGGATGATGGAGGAAAGGCGGTGGAGAGGTCCAGGAGGACAAGAAGGCAGAGGGAGCTCTGGTCACAGATAGGGAGGATGTCGTTTGTGACTTTCACAAGCGCAGTCTCTGTACTGTGGGCAGGGCGGAAACCGGACTGGAGGGGTTCGAAGAGGGAGTGGGAGGAGAGGTGTGCGCGGAGTTGGTTTGCAACAACGCGTTCTAGAACTTTTGAGAAGAAGGGCAGGTTAGAAATAGGGCGGTAATGGCTGGGGTTTGAGGGATCTAGGGAGGGTTTTTTCAGGAGTGGGGTAATGACAGCAATTTTGAGGGAGGCAGGGACTGATCCGGAGGAGAGGGACTGGTTGATAATGTCAGCCAGTAGTAGGCAGAGGAGGGAGAGCTGTGTGACCAGTAAGTTGGTGGGGAGGGGGTCGAGGCAGCAGGTGGTGGGTTTCATGGAGGTGATGGTGGGTGAGAGGGAGCAGGGAGAGATGGGGAGGAAAGAGTGTAGAAAGGCGGTGGTGGTAGGAGTAGATGATGAGGAGGGTGAGGGGGACAGAGAGGGCATGGTTGTGGGTGACAAGGGGCAGGTGGATGAGGCTGCCTGGTGGATGTTCAGTATTTTAGTTGAAAAGAAGTCCATGACCTCCTCGCACTTGGCATTTGATACGAAGATTGAGGAGGCCTGAGGGGGGACAAGGAGGAGGTAGTGGGTGATGGAAAACAGGATTTTAGGGTTGTGTTTAGTTTCCAAGATGATGTTGGAGTAGAAGGCCGTTTTTTGGTGTGTCAAAGAACGGCAGTAGCTGTGGAGATGCTCGAGCCACAGTTGGCGGTGAAATGTCAGGTCAGTTTTCCGCCATCTGCGCTCGAGCAGATGGGTTTGGGTTTTTTGGCAGCGGAGATGGTTGTTGTACCAGGGAGATTAGGTGGGTTTGGAGGTGGTCCTGGGTTTTAGGGGGACGAGGAATGAAAGTGGAGGAGAGGCGATCATGGAGCAGCTGGATGGCTGCTTCAGGATCTCCACGAGTGGAAGGCCAGACGGATAGGATGTTTGAAGATGAGAGGGCCTTTGTGAGGGTCTCAGGGGGTAGCCTTTTCCAAGAGCGGTAGAGGATGGTTGAGGGCTTGGTGGAGGAGAGAGGGATGTGAGAGAAGAAGGAGATGAAAAAGTGGTCCGAGATGGCCTTGTCCACTATGCTGAGGTCGGAAATGTCAAGGCCATGGGTGATGATGAGGTCAAGTGCATGACCACGGTTGTGGGTAGGTGAGTTTATATGGAGGGTAAGGTTTAGGGAGGAGAGGAGGGCAGTGAAATCGGCAGAAGTGGTGCAGGGGGAGTTTAGGTGGAGGTTGAAATTGCCCATTATGAGTAGGCGCTCGGAGCAGAGGGACAGGGAAGAGAGGAGAGTAGAGATGTCTGTGTGGAAGGAGCCGGGGGGCTTACGGGAGCGGTAAACAAGGAGGATTTTCAAAGGGAGAGAGGAGTGGAAAAGGGTGAGGTGCTCGTAGGATGGGAAGCAGCCAGAGGAGTAGGGGGTGAGACCAAGGGAGGCTTTGGAAATGAAGGCCACCCCGCCGCCACGTTGGCAATATAAAGTACCAGCAAAATATTGGTATAACTACCAAGGTCCAGCCTAAGCAGACTTGACATCTGACCTGAACTCTTGAGTCCAGAAATGATAAGGTTTATGACCTCTACGGTGGGTTCAGTCAGAGAATTAAATATGCCCTAGAAAGGGAAAGCCCTCTGCCTCCATAACCCAATGATTGCTCACTGCCGTATCATGTGGTGAGAATGCAGATGAGGGATTATATCTGACTATAATCCATTCAACGGAAATAGAGCATGATTTGATTTACTGACCAAACACAAACACTATGAGGGAGTGTTTCCCCTTTACTTTCAAGGACCTCTCCAAATTCAAGAGAGTGGTTCATAAGGGGCAGTTCAAGAATTCTCTAACACAACATATTCTGTACAAATCATTCTCCCTTTCTGAGACTATGAAAGCAGCATCACACTTTGTATTACTGAAACGTTTAACCTGAATCCACAGATACATTTCACCTGGAAGGAATAGTTCATGATAGTTACTCTGTCACAGAACTGGCAAATGGTTTAATGATACCCGACTATCAACAGTTCATTAAAAATTGGCAGAATGAACTATCAGAACAGGGTTCAACTGTTTGGTCTGTCATCACAAAGTGTTTCTGAGTGTTAGCAGCCTCTAATTCAAAGGGACTGCAAAATATCTGAATTAAAGTGTTGAGACATAATTATGATTCTCCATTTTATTCAATTTCCAATCTTAGGCTCTGCTTCTGTGGGGAGAACTCGAACAGAGGCATCAGTTGCAGAATCTTCCAAAATTAACAATAATAGTTCATTGTCTTCACAAGGACTATGTGAAGAAATTAAACTATTATTATTATTAATTATGTCCCACAGAAAAAAGAATATTTGTAAAAGAAATCAAAAGGGTTTTGGTAGTGGGGAATATAGGCTCTCTCTCCCAGTTTACATTTTTATAGTTTTGTATCACATCAATGCCTCAAAATTCTTTACAGTTCTTATAAATTTCTTTGGCAGACTTTGGCACTCCTTGATCAGTTCAAGTCAAAGCTAACGAAGGCCATAGAAACTCCTGCTGAAGAAATAATTGAACCCGAAGGAGAAGATGATCAAGGCTGGTAAGTACTAGTTCCAGCAAAACCGCCTATTTAGCAGTATTGAATTATTTTTAAGACTTAATGTTTAATTGGAGAACCCGCCAAAATATAAGTTAATCATTTGACCCAATATTTTGAGAAAAATACATTTTCTGTAGTGTTTTATAAATGTAAACAATTTTTGTGCCAAACATATTGCAGTTTGTATTAACAAAATAATTAAAATTGCACATGTTCTGTATTGGCAGTTGTGCTCAATGAATTACCATTAATTTACTTTGGGGTCTAAAATATGGCATTCACAAATCAGACGTCATTGCACTGGTTGTAACTTGTGGTTTGTGACTGAAATTGTGGTATTTGGTAATAAATTTGCAAAATAAATGTATCAGCTGAGAAAAAGTGCAAATGCCAAAGGCTGGCCGCAATCGCAACCAGACGTCAGGATTGTGGCCAGTGAATTGCTTTTGGACTGTTTCTTGGCCGAGAAAAGGCCTGAAAAGTCTGACAAAATGTTGGAAAGGAAAGACCAGTCAAAAAACAGCCATTTTTTTTTCAGGATCACAATTCATTAAGAAATCTTGCAATTTCATTCTTAAACCAGAAATATTAATTTGTCCAGCAGTTTTGAACACTGCTTTTTTAAGCCCAGTATGTCTCAAGATACACAAGAAGATTATGCCTCTGGTTATCCTTAGCCATCTATAAGAGCAAAAGGATAACACTGGCATTATCATTTGTTACAACTTACAACTGCATCAAAATGAAAAGATCCTGCTGGAATAAATAAAACTACAAAATATATGTGATGCTGTTTCATTTCCTCTTGTTCAATATGCATTCTGGAACTCTCCCCCAGAAGGCTGTGGATGTTGGATCCATTCAAATTTTCAAGACAGAAGTGGATAGATTTTTGTTAGGTCAGGGTATCAAGGGATATGGGGCAAGGGCAGGTAATTGGAGTTGAGGTACAGATCAGACATGATCTTATAGAATGGCGGAACAGGCTTGAGGGGCTGTTCCTATGTTCCTAATGTGTTCAATGTAATTTCCCGCATTTTCCTTTTTATTCTTGTTTTTCAGCATAATTTTTTTCGTGGAAGTTTCAACTTTCTTTTCTTTTATATTATACGTGCTGTGGAATCATTTTATTATTTTTGAAAAACACTACCATCTTAATTGTAGAAAGTTTGGTTTCTGTATTGGGTTAGTTTGGCGATTTTTAAAAAAAAATTCTGTCAAGTTTTCAACCCATATTACGATTTATCCTCGTTATTTATAAGTTTTTAAAAAAGTATTGAAATAGTAATTAAAATTCTGAACTTGGTTTCCTTGATGATTAGGAAGTAAAGTTGTCATTATTATTATTATTAAAGGAAAGGTTCAGCATTAAGCCTTATATAGAAGATTGCAGGCCTGTGCTGAATTATCTGATTTTAGCTAGGCCAGACATTGGGTGCTACAATTGGACTCTGGATTAGGGAAGGGAAAATTACATTCTCAAGCTACTCCAGTATTGTTTTGTTGCTGTAATATTAATCTTAATCTACTTTACAAAAAGTAATTTTAGCTAAATATAAATTAATGAAATAAATTCCTTTGTCTCACAGGCAAGTTTTAAGTTTTTCCAATGCACACCTTACTGGTCGGTCTCCCCAGTTCCACTATAAACAAAGGCCAAATGATGCAAATGTGTCCTCGTCAATACCAAGCTCTGTGCTCCTGTCATCTCAGTTCTTGCCAGGCTCCAATGGCTTCCTTTTGCAGAATAGATCGATTTCATGATCTTCACTCTCACTTCCAAATCACTTCACGCCTTGTCACCCACCTCCTTACATCTCCGATCTGCTGACAATGTACTCCACTTCCCACTGGCTTCGCTTAGCCAGTTTGGGTCTTCTGCGTGGGCTCATCCTCTCCACTCCACCATTGGTGGCCTTGCTTTCAGTCACTAGGCTCTGAATCGGAACTCCCTGCCTCGATACCTCAGTCTTTCTTCTTCAACAATGCCTTCGGTCACACACACACAAGCCTGTTAAGAGCTCCAAGACAGTACTTGTATGAAGGGCCCTAAATAAATTAAGTTGTTGTAATAATAACTTGCATTTATATACCACCTTTCATGTAAAAATAAATGCCCTGTAGCCAACAAAAACCTAAAAGATGGCTGATTGACTGACACGGCCACATCATATTCTTCTGGAAGTGATTCATTGTTTTCCAAATCTCCTTTCCACTGGAAGGTATTTTGTCTGATCTCAGGTCAGAGACAGTAGCTATCAATTGACGGCTTGGTCCAGATATTTTGGTCCAGTGTCTTGGAAAGCACCTTAATCCATTAACCTGCTTTGTTCTGGAGTACCTCCAAAATTTGGCGTTTGTTTGTTTGAAAATTCAATCTGTGTTATTCGAGGAATCATTCTTTCATTTACCATTTTCTGAAAAGTGTCTGGAAACCCAACTTCTTATTCATATTATTCGTTGTCTTAATGTTGGAGACTTTAGGGGTTGTTCTGCTTCGTTTGTACAATATGTTGAATCTTTCAATATGGCTTATATTGGGATGTCTGGCCTTTTGCATAGGTCATATTAAGTTCTTACACATCAGCATGTGTGGCAGCTGGCTGTAGGGCAGGTGCTAAACACATTTAAAAGCGGTGAATGGTGGGTTACATTCATCATTGTTACTACCTGATAGGATGCCCTCCTGTGAAGTCATGGGTCATTCTACAATGATTAGTATCTGGGAAAACTTGAATGAGTCTCAATAAGAACTATATTTTTAAACAGGGTTTTATAAATTTAAAAATACACAGAAAACCATCGAAACATTCCTACACAGAATAGGAACGGCTATGATTTGAGAATAGAATTTTATAATGTCCACAGCTAATCGCTACCAATTGTGTCCAAAAATGATAATAATCCTTGCATTTGATATAGCCCCTTATCATGTTTTCATGACATCTCAAAAGCGCGTCACAGAATATAGTGTGAAGTGAATTGACTGTATATTTTGTGGGCGAAATGATGCTCAAAAGGCAGGCATCATGTGTATAATATATACACACACAATATTTTATATCTACCGGATAGATTTTTATATATATATAACCATAATTACTTCAATGAAAGATATTATTAGTATTCTGTGATGGAGCCAAGAAGAGGAGATCTTAAGATGTTCAACATACCCAGTGGGAAAGTGACCTCAAGCAGGTGAGGAGGCTAGTCAGCTGAAGCTTTGACTATCCAAGGAACCAAATGTCACCCTTATATGGATTAATGCAGTCAACCTGGGACTTCTCTTCCAGCCATTCCTAGTGCAGGAGGAAGTAGAAACTATTTTTAAAAGCCTATACATTGGGTTTCTTCTCACTGGCATCACTTTTAATTCTTTGGTAAAACACCTGCTTGTGATAATGCCAGTAGTGCTTCCTAACCACACATTCCAGCTCCTAATGGTAAGCAGTCTAATAAGGTTGAATTCAAGTACAAATTCTTTATTATTAGTCTGGATTGATCTTTGATCTTCGTTGTATTTCAGCAGTTAATGCTCTGATTTGTTTTATTTATTTTTGTTGCTAGTAAATTGCAGTTCTAAAAATTATGGTATATTAAACATAAGTATCTGATTGTTTTTGTGTCTGGGTTGTTGTTTATACATGTGACTAAGTTTAAATAAACTTAGTCAGTTTGGTAAATTTTATGCTATCGTGATGTGGTTTTTCTAACGGAACAGTTTAAGGCATTTTGTTCTTTGTTTATACTGCTGGAAGTGATGTTGCATTACTTTGGAGCGAGAAACCTGATTTATATTTCCCGCTTCTAATCGCTATTGCAAATTGCTTAGATCAGGGTGGTCCAACGGGCGGCCCATGGACCTCATCCAGCCCAGGGATGATTGCATCCAGCCTGCGAACCAATTTTGCACCCAGTACCCATAGCTCCATTTCCCGTGACCCATTGTCTGTTATCAATGCCCCCAGCCCTCAGTCTATGTACCTCCGTGCCCCATTTCTCGTGCTCCCTAATCCATGCCCGGCTGTTCGCCCCTTGTGCCAGGCTACCAAGACACATGGCCAAGTCATATTGCCAACCCTGTACTCAGTGCCTTGCAATTCCATTGACTCCATATGCTGAGTTGATATCTTGTGTTTTGATTTTAATACATAAAAATTAATTTAATTCCAATGTGAAAGGCATGATATAAATACAATTTGTTGTTATTATTGATGCATCTATTATTTCAATTTGATATTATCGTTATTTTGTTCATTGTTAGGGCTATTAAATGGTGTGCATTTTAATTCACTTAATTATTGATTTCATTGTTTACTGGGGAATAGGCATTTAATGATTATTCTTACATATATGTACTCATAAAAGCTGTATTGATAAAATTGAATTATTGTTTTAAAATTGGTATGAACTTTTGCCTGAATTGCCTATTTAAAGTTTGCATTGTAACTAAAATATAGTGAAATTAAGTCATGGTTACACAATTTAAAATATAGGATTTCTATATTTCTATACGATTCTCATGGGTTATATTTCTGGAAGGGAAACACAGAAATATTGCTCCTACGGTCTGCTGGACGTTTCCCAAATCTGGCATTTGACCTTCAGCAGCCAAAAGTTTGGACCACCCTGTTTTCGATGGTGATTGCTTTTGTAAAAGAACTGGTCATGTGATTGGCCCTTTAAGACCATTAAAATTATTGCCTTAAATAGACAACTTTTTAAGAGATTTTTTCGGAGCAATTTAACTGTACTGCATCCATTTATATTGCAGTGCTATAAATTGATATTCTGCCAAAACCACTTTCTCAACTTGGGAGAGAGTTCCAGAGAGCGGGGTAAAAGTGGCTGAAAGCTTGCCTCCCTAACAAGGGAATGAGGGCCATTTGAAACATGCCTGTGTCAGCAGAGGGAATGGATGGGGTGGGAGGAGGATGGTGGGAGATCACAGACATAATAATAATAATAATAATAATAATCCTTGCATTTGATATAGCGCT